AACCACCCTAACCACCTGAAAATTAACCACCCTAAACAGTACGATACGACCTCACTCTACACCCAGAATACATCTTGGTGACCTAACTTAAAAGGATGCAAGTCATATTTTGTCCTACCTCGTTAGTTTAATTTGGTGGAGGAAAACTTGACGTATATCTATGTATAAGTATCACACACACCTGTATATTATCACACACACCTGTATATTATGACACACACACACACACACACACACACACACACACACACACACGAAAATACCATTACAAATCTGATAAAGCTAAAAACACATTCAACACACCTGTAAACACTGGGAGACACACCTGACAAGACCATAACACACCTGCAAACACACCTGTCAACACCACTATACACCTGCCAACACCCGGGACACTTATCCAACATCATGCACATCACCACCCACCCCCCCCTAAAGTTTGACTGACATCCAAACTCTGCTGTAACTCTCCCTAAACTACTAATCAAACTTCCTAAAGCACATCTCTTACCTGTAGGGAAGTCGCCTTAATTAATCCGGTAAGGAAGATCCACCAGTAATTGTACTATAGTCACAACACAGGAGTGAGCGAGAGGCAACACACACACGTCCACCACCTCACAGTGACTCACGCACACTGACTGGCGACACACAGGTGAGCGTACACACACAGGTGAAATTCCTCAGCCATCGACTAATTCTCACGGTCTCAGAGGTGATTTAAGTTATCCACGCTTATAGTTTATCAAACGAACCCCCAGTACTAATAAGATCTAGTCCTAATAGGTCCTCTAACCTATCATATATTAAGGATTTGGATTGGGATTCGGGCCCATTAAGGTGGTGGTGATTAGGAACAGGAGGAGGGAAGGAGAGAGGAGGAGGAGGAGGGGACTAGCTCATCTGACCAGTCACGTTCACGCTTCCCAAAACACACTAACTCTCACGGATCTCGCGTTCATCATGTCAAAATATAGTAAGACTTTTTTTATAAAACTTCTACATAACCCAAACACTACAAAACACTATCCAACTTCCATTTATTTACCTTTAATATAATATCTTCCAAAATAGATTAAAAGATGATCAGTAATTTGTTCATATTTTTGGTGGGTGATATTTTCGTGGTATAGATGACCTTCTTTAAGCCAAGTGTGGTCTTGTTGATGTGTTGCAATGTTTGTGTTGATCAAGACTGGTCGACCACACCGCCACTCAGTCACTCACAGTCACTCACAGTCGGTCATAGTCACTCGCCGTCACTCACAGGTAACATAACTCACCTGAGTGTCTTAAAATCACCAGGTAGGTTGATGTGAATGATGGTGATGATAGTGACAGCATCTCTCTCTCTCTCTCTCTCTCTCTCTCTCTCTCTCTCTCTCTCTCTCTCTCTCTCTCTAACAAGATCCTCATCATAGTCTTAGCCTCAATAACAGTCGGCTGCCTATAAGACGACCTGACCTCGCCTCCACCTGCCTGGCCAGCTTGACCAAGTGAGGGCAGTGCTGGGAGGGAGGGATGGAGAGAAGGGTGGGGTAGATGGAGTGGATGGGAGGGAAGGATGTAAAATGGGTAGAAGCTTGGGAAGGAGAGGTGGACGGGTAGAGAGGATGGACTAGTACGTCAGTCATCCTAGCGTGCAGGGCGGGGTGAGCTGGGAGGCAGGGGTGAGCTGGGAGGGAGGGGTGAGCTGGGAGGGGTCTCAAGGCCTCTGTTTGCTAAACTATCACACACACACACACACCCTAAATGCTATACTCCTGGACCACACCCCTACACACGACCCCCACAAGGTGATAATAGCCATAATTACTGAACCTCTTTATTCAATTCTCTTACATGCACCACCTACAGTACAGCCTCTACATCACCCAGGCTGTCATCACCAACAACAGTACAGCCTCTCCCTCTACATCACCCAGGCTGTCATCACCAACTACAGTCCAGCCTCTACACCACCCAGGCTGTCATCACCAACAACAGTACAGCCTCTCCCTCTACACCACCCAGGCTGTCATCACCAGCTACAGTCCAGCCATCACCCAGCTGTCCTAACTACAGTCCAGCCTCCCTCTACATCACCCAGGCTGTCATCACCAACTACAGTCCAGCCATCCCAGTCTACAGCCTCTCCCCACATCACCCAGGCTGTCATCACCACCTACAGTACAGCCTCTACATCACCCAGGCTGTCATCACCACCTACAGTACAGCCTCTACATCACCCAGGCTGTCATCACCACCTACATTTCCAGCCTCCTACAGCACCCAGGCTATCATCACACCTACAGTCCAGCCTCACACCACCCAGGCTGTCATCACCACCAACAGTCCAGCCTCTACACCACCCAGGCTGTCATCCTGCCTACAGTCCAGCCTCTACACCACCAGGCTGTCATCACCAACTACAGTCCAGCCTCCCCACCCCATAGGATGTGGTCAAGACACACAACCACAGCACAGGTAATTGTGGCGTGTCTCGGTCTCCCTGCTGCACCTTCACGCCATCCCGGCCACTGCACTCACCACCATTATCACCATCACCACCACTATCCTCACTACCACCACCCACACCACCATTATCCTCACTACCACCACCCACACCACCCCTATCCTCACTACCACCACCCACACCACCACTATCCTCACTACCACCACCCACACCACCACTATCCTCACTATCACCACCCACACCACCCCTATCCTCACCACCACCTGCTGAAGTAACCAAAGCTCTCACCAAAGAAGGAAACTTTCACCAATGGCTTGATGATAACCACATGCCATGTTTACATTGATCAGCTGACCCGGGGGGCTTAAGATACCACGCCGTACCTGCCCCGCCACACTCAAGGTGACCAACATTAAACACGGGAATCCCCCCAGCGCGCGCACACACACCTTACCTACCCCACTCCCAACCATTCCCACCCTCCCACCCATTCCCTCCCCCTCTCCTATCCCAACAGACCCCTCCCTCTTTCCTCCCCATAGGCAGACAGACAGACATTCACTCAACCATTATCGAAGTATTATTACGGTAAAAACTCTAAAAGAAGTAAAGTTTATAAAAATATATATATATATTTTTTCAGTATTTTTGGTAAAGTATGAGTCAAGAGTGTGGTAAGACTCGTGTTATTTAAAAGGCTGTACAGTTTCAACACATTGGTCTGTACAGCAAGTCATCGTCGGTGTACAAAATATAACTACTCACTAGTTTACACAAGGTTAAAACCATTTTCATTTTATATTTACATGGTGGTGGTGGTGCTCGTGGTATGTTTGTCCCGCTAGAGCGACTTTTACTATGTCCGTGTTGTGTTAATGTGTGTATATGAAATGAACCCTCCATATAACGGACTTCTCTCTATATATATAATCCGTTAGATGGAGGGTTTTCACAACAGACCCTCGATATACCACAACGCCTACATCAACAAACCACAAACAACGGGAAACAACGTAACACAAACCTAACGCAGCCGCTGACTGGCCCATGCCTTCTGCGCGCGCTTTTTTCTAATTTTTTTTATCCGTTCGAGTTAAATTTTTTTTTAAACTTCGAGCGAGGTTTGGATATCGTGCCGGGGAATTTAATGAGGTAATTTTTCTTCATTATTTCAGTGAAGGTTAGGCCTAATTTATCCCAGTCACGATAATACCTGCCTGACTGCCAGACATTACGCTCCTATTGTCTAATTTAAGAACTAATCCTGGCTATTTATACTCGGTTTACGCCCCCCCCCAACCCACCCCCTCAACGCCTGATTATTTTGAATATACGCGAACTTTTTTCCCACTGAATTTCGTAAACATGTTCTTTTTTTCCCACTGAATTTCGTAAACATGTTCTTTTTTTCCCACTGAATTTCGAAAACACGTCCCTTTTCCCCCCACGTTATTTTGTAAACAATCTCGATTTTTTCCACTGAATTTCGCAAATATTCCCAGGTATTTCATGGCTCATCAATATACCTTAATAAATTAGATACAGTATACATTATCCCTGCCTCATACATGAATACATTCCTGATTAACTTAAGCCGAGAGAATAAACTAAAGTCTCTGTGTGGATTAGATGCCCTTTTGACAAACCTGAGGAAGCTTATATGACTTAGATCGGTTGTAAGTGTGATATAGTGAGGAATTTCAACCTTACGAACTCTTGAGACTCTTACTCTTGTGTCGCAGCTAAAATTACGTCTCTAATCCATTCTCAGATCTAAGTTTAGTGGGAAAACTTTAACGGGGGAATTATAAAGAGGACCGATGCAGCAGTGAGGGAGTGGTGTAGTGAGTTAATCTGACTGTCCCCGGTACGACACACATGACATACACACACATGACACACACACACACATGACATACACGCACCCAAGGACACAAAACATGATACACACACACAAAATATGATACATATACACGCACCCATACACATATATACAACATGACAGACAGACACAGACAGACAGACAGACAGACACACACAATAATGGGAGGGTAATCACTGACAATCCTAATTTTCATAATAGACTTCATCCTCAGAACTCGTTGTGTTGCGTCCCCCCCCCACAGTGTTTTGTAATCGTGAGCTGCAAGTGGGGCCCCCTGTCCTAATGGGCCCCAACTTAATCTAACCTGTCATGGTATGTGAAGAGCCTAACCTAACTTAACTTAACCTGCCATGTAAAGGGCAGCAGGCCAGTAGCTATCAAAGGGGCCCATTAGGAAAGGGGCCCATCTCAGCAACCACAGCCACAGTTCATGCTTGAGGGAGTGTTTGGGCTTGTGTGTGATAATAATCAGGATGTAAGTTCAAGGACAAGGGATAATGTACTACGTGTTTTTCAAGGACAAGGGATAAGGTACTACGTGTTTTTCAAGGACAAGGTGTAACAACGTACGTGCACCCCCCAGCCCACCACAATAAAACACACACAGCCCCCAAACAAAAACAAACACACACTCTCGTCTCCTCCACGCCTTATACTCACCGCGGGTCTCTTGGGGGTGGAGTGAGGGATGCCGTCCACCAAGTCCTCCTCCTTCTCGCTACCTCCTCCACCACCTCCTCCTCCACCAGCCACCACCTCCGTACTCGAGCCTGTGTGAGAGATAATATATGGTTAGGTTAAGTTAGGCTTTAGTTTAGGTTAATCTAGGTTAGGTTAATCTGGGTTGGGTTAGACACATACCGGGTAACCACAAACAATAGAGAGTCAATTACATATTTCTTACCTGCGTTAGTTAGCTCTATGTCCATCTTACCTGACCGACACACACTGACTGACTGACTGACTTACTTATCCACTGTTGAGAAAACGAGTCAAGGACGGGTTTAAATCTTACGACTTAACACAATACAACAATAAACCTTCAACATAACCACACACACACACACACACACACGCGCACATTAGAGAGAGTTTTTCCAGGACTTGTGATATTTCAACCGGATCTTTCCTACTCATGCATTACCGGACGTGCTGGTGACGGTCACAAGACTTCCAAGAAACACACACACACACACACACACACACACACACACACACAGTGAAATTATCGAACACGGAAAAGAAATCCTTGTGAGTATTAAAAAAAATATATAAGTAGTACTTGTAAATAATATTGTAAAAAATTGGACTGTAAATAAATATACTGATCTAAACACCGAGACATGTGGAAATAAACACACACACACACACACACACACACCTGCCTCCCCCCACACACTAGCCACAACACAGCTCGCTCTCTCAAGGATGTTGTGGAAACTAAAAGATACCGGATGCCAGGAATCAGCCGTGGTGAGCTGTGTGTCCGTCACCACCACACTATTTTACGTTGGTTTTACTGCAGACCTTATGAGGATTTTTTTTCGGGGGGGGGGACAGAAAATGTAGAAAATAGGGAATGTAGGGAAAAATAGGGGCAAAATGAAGGGAAATGTGGAAGATAGGGCAAAAATAAAGGGAAAATAAGGCAGAACATGAGGAAAATAACACAAAAAGGTAGAAAACAGCAACAACAAAACAAACAAACAACAACACGCCTGAGCTACAAAACCCAGCAGTGCAACACATCATCACAAAGTTACCACAAAATCAGCGTCACCACCACAACACCGATACAGGGCACGCCATGGTAACAGCTGACGAGGAAGTAAACAACATCTCGTCCGCCGCACCTCACAGCTGATCAGTCACGTGTCAGCGGGTATAATGTAAACAAATGACTGGTGTCCCATCCCTCACCCCCTCTCTTAGCTTAGTGTACTCGTGGCCATAGTTAATTATCTCTCTCTCTCTCTCTCTCCCTCTCTCTCTCTCTCTCTTAGTGGGTGGGTCAGAGAGAGAGGAGGGAGAGAGTGAAAGGAGGGAGAGAGCGAGAGGCAAAGAAGGAATGAAGGAAGGAGGGAGGGAGGGAATGAAGGAAGGAAGGAGGGAAGGAAGGAAGGAATGAAGGAAGATTTACCCATGAACCTAGCGACAGTAGGGAAGGTATACCTGTCTGTATTATATGACCTTAAAGAATATACAGGGTACCTGTCTATACCTGTCTAAAGAATATACACCTGTAAATATAAACACAAACATGACCTCAGGGAGACAACTGTACAAAAGTAACCTTGAAATAAATACCCTTGAATAATAGACAGGAGACCTTGAGGGGGAAATACCTTGAAAGATAATTGTAAACACGACCTTAGAGTGACCTTGGGGGCAGTAAGGGTTAAAGTGTATACTGCAGGTGTGTGTGTGTGTGTGTGTGTGTGTGTCGATACCTGGTTGACACGGGGAGGAGGAGCAAGGGAAGAGGAGACGAGGAAGAGAACTGGAGGAAGACACGGCTCTACCCTCACGGAAACCAATAAAATTCGTCAAAACAAGATCGTCGACAACTCCGCCTCGCCTCGCCACACACACACACTCCTTGACACTCCCTACTACGACTTCCTTCCCTCACCTCTCCCACATCCACTTTGCCCTCCCATGCCTCCACCTACCCTTCCCTCTTTCCATGCCTCCACCTACCTCCACCCCATCACCTCCTCCATCGTACTCAAGGGTGTCAAGTCATCGTACTCAAGGGTGTCAAGTCATCGTACTCAAGGATGAAGTTATCGTACTCCAGGGGTTAAAGCCTTACATTAACCATAACAAGACTCCATGAATCAAACTATCTACATTTCCTGCCCAGGTAGATAAGAGTCCCTCACACAGGTAAATCACCACTAATGAGCACCTGCACACTTGTGACCTTCACCACCTGCGTCACACACACATATGCCTGGGCAGGGATGGCACACACACGCACACCTGAGCAGCGATGGTACACACACACACACACAGGTGACCTACATACACCACACAGAACGATAAAATAAACACAAATAAGAAATAAATAAAACAAGGAAATTTATACAAGAAAACAAGACGTATAATAACAAGCAATAATTTACTTAATAAATCTACAGGAAAAGTGAAAAAAAATCTTTCAATTTACACAACGTCATCAACACCGTCAACCAATGATATGACCCAAATAATTTAATCCACAACGTCATCAACACCGTCAACCAATGATATGACCCAAATAATTTAATCCACTACGTCATCAACTTTTGGAAGTCAGCCAATGATATATTATTAATTTAATCACTACGTCATCAACTTACTACAACCAAATGCATTATCACCGTAATACAGAATGAATATAGAATCCTAAGAAAGAACTCAGAGAATGATAAGACTAATCCCGGCCATCAGGAATTTTGTCGGGGCTAAACAAATAGGGACATAACAAAAGGTACTCAACTATCAACCAGGGTGAACTCGTATAATGGTTTTTAGTTAGACTAATTTAGATTTAGGCGCGAAATAGGTGGATGCTGGTTTGGAAATGAGTGAGTGGACGACTGGAACAATTTTCCGAACATCATAATGAACTTCGTGCGCTGGATGGCTTCCGACACAGGGTTGGGTGTAAGTGCGACTGCTTAGTATGGGCCAATGTGATATGACCCGCTGCAGTTTTCCTCCATTCTTCCCCATTACGTCACATATCTTCAGCAATCGAATTCATCCAAATGTGACCTAATAATGTCATCAACGATCAATAATGCATCATTCCAATAAATCGATGCTAATTGCGTCATCACTACGTCAAGGAATGATTGCCAAATTCATCAGTCTGTTTACGGTGTTAAGTAAACTAAATAACCAACACTCTCTCTCTCTCTCTGTGTGTACACTAAGGACAAAGGCCACCTTTTTGCCATAATTCCTGTCACAAGACGTTGACCGGCCACACTACACACACGAGAATCACAACAACTGACTTGCAACAACTCCGTCAGCCAGCCTGGTGCAAGCATCTCGCCTGACTGTAATTAGTGCGGCAACAGGTAAATACACACCTTACTTGACAGGCCGTGGAAGACGCTTGGAGGGAACGAGTTGATTGCGTCATTCTTGCCTTCACATAGTAGAGTTGATTACAGGTTTTGTGATGTGGTCATTCTTGCAGGTATGTGTGTATGTATGAATGGAGATATGACGATGTAGATGTGTGGATGGGAGGAGGGAGGGTTGTGGATGGGGTGGACGGGAGTGGATGGTGGGTGGGCCTCTGACATGGCGTCTGGGTGAATGATCACCTTTCCTTGTGGACCAGTCGGTAGAAGGAGGAGGAGGAGGGAAGAAGACAGTACCACCTGGCTCTTCAATCATCCTCCAATCCCTTCCCTTCCCCCGTCGCCTTCCATCTCATTTCCTCTTCCTCCTCCTCCCCTCGCCCCCTCACTCTCCTCGTCACCTCCCTCTGCCCAACACGTGCCAGGTGTCGCCCAACACGTGCACAGGAAATTAGGGATTAAACACTAAGACGCAAACACGTGTTCAGCACCAGAAAGGAAGAGGAATGGTTCGATAGCATCAGAAAGTGCACGTGGTGGAGGCGCGTGCAGAATGTAAACAAACAACACGTGGTGGAGGCGCGTTCAGGATATAAACAAAGGAAAACACGTGGCCCCACACCAGACTGACAACGTTGCCAACACGTTTTGAGGTGAAGAGCAGAATTGAACCTGCATTGTCTATATATACACATGCTGAACCATTGTTGTGACGACCTGATGAAGAGACCCTATCGACACTCTTCCTTGACTCTCTCCCTCGAGAAACCATTAACATGGACCTGCGTTATTACAATCACCACCACTACTACGACCTTTCACTTCACACCACCAACTGACCTTACCTCTTTGACCACCTACGGGCTCCATTGCACCACCACCAACAAGAAGGGAGGGAGAGGACGGAAGGAAATGGGGAGGAGTGGGGAGGAAGAAAGGGGAGGGAAAAGAAGGATGAAAAGGGGAGGAGGAGGAGGGTTTAGAAGTGTCGCAGATGTTTGGGAAGGAAGAAACGATGGGATAAGGGTGACATCCATTGTTCTCCAGGGACAGGCAGGGGAGGAGGGCAGGGGTGTGAGAGAGAGGCATCGTTCGCATCCTTATCTCTGGAAGCTGTTTCCTGTTTTCTGCAGGGGCGTCCTTCCTCCCCCCCCCCTCCCTACCCCGCCTGCTCCTCCCGCCCATTGGTCCTCCTCCCCCGTCCAGATGCCAGTACCACCACATCATCACTCCTACAAGACGGGCCTCAGTCTGTAACAAACCGCTCTAATCAACCCAAGTCATGATCTTACGTCAACCTCAGTGTACCAGCAGTGACACACACACACACACCCTAACCCGATCCAAGATAGTAATGAAACTCGAACCAACGTGCCATAAGGCGGATCTGCGGCCCTCCCTCCACCACCCCCCTTCCCCAAGTTGTGCCGGCGGACATGTGTTGGTCATTCCGGGGTCAGGGTCTGGAGTGATGCGTGAGGAGAGGAAGTGTGCGTGATAACATGAAAGGGTCAGAGAGGGGGCAAGAGGAAGGGGTGAGAGGGGAGAATGGAGGGGAGGAGGAAGGAAAGGAGAGAGAGAAGGTGCGAGTAACAAAGAGGAGACGAAAAGAGATAGGTGAGAAGAGAGGTGAGGTGAGACAACTAAACAAATTAATTACTCATTATAACTGTATTACTATATAACTT